TTTAACTGCCATCATCCAATTAAACAGGACACTGGGTTTAGTAGTATTTATAGACATTATATCAGTTATGAGAAAAATAAACAGCCAATTCAGTTTGATTGCAAATTTAAGCCAGATTGTGCAGAGTGTTGGCTTCGTGACATCACAGAACCCCGAGCCTCACGTCTTGCACACATACAGTACGTCACAGATGAGCCACCAGGACGCAGGGCTCGCATCTCAGCGACACTGCACCAAGTCACCGCCATCGAAAACTCTCCAGGCAGAACAAACGGGAAAAGACGACTGAAAAAAACAAAAACCTTTTTATTTTTAAGTACAGTGCTTATGCCAGAAAAAAATAGATATTTCCAAACTCAGAAGTGTATCACAGAAGGCCAGCGTGAGGGGCCATGGCCAACACACAACGTCACAGGCACATGTGAAAGTCTGCTCCGACCCGAGGCTGTGGGACAGCAGCTCGGGGGAGAGCAGGCACACACTCGGATCACACCAGAGAGACACGAGGAGGGGTGCAACTCCACCACACTGAGCACGTGAGCCATCCTTTGCGAAGGCCATTCCAGCTCTGCGTTTAAACTGTTCTTCCATTCCCTCTAACGGAGGGCTGGCACAGTCCTGGGGCTCCGAAAACATGTTTGTTAGGGGGGCAAAGACTAAAGTAAACACTGACGCAAAGTTAGCAAAGTTAGCGGCCTTGATAACCAATGGTGTACGAGGGTTTTACAAAACTGGAGCACAAGATGTGCAGGAAAAAAAAAACACACAACATTCTCAGCTCATAGACTTGATAAAAAATAGATGGAACAAAATACTGAACGCTTCTGTCAGTCTCTACATGTGTTTGAACAATGGGCTGGAAAAGAGAGCCTAAGTGGCAGATTCCACAGAGCACTCTTCTGTCAGTACCACGGACTCTTCTCATTCCTCAGGGCACTGATACCATACTGGGCAGGTTTAATTACAGGCTCTGAAAACCAGTGGGCCAAACCACAAAACAAAATCCGCAGACTGCAGACTAAAGTGAAATTTGCTTTGGTGGTTCGACAGTCACGGGGACAGCAGTCTCTCTTATACATCATCATTGCGTCGAGGTACAGGAAGTGCAGCACGGCAAATGTGCTTCAAGCCCAGAGAGAAGGGACAGAAAGCTCAGCGAGAAACCTTCCAGTCGTGACGTCTCCTGTACCTGCGGCACATGAAGCCCTTCTACACCTGTCCGCACGTGAAACCTGCTCGCTTCCAGGACCAAAGCAATGTTCACTCCACCGGGCAGAACGTCCGCTGTTGTTTTGAAAGGATACACAGCTCTCTCTCCCCTCTGGTACAAACAGGACATGAACCCATTAGAGCGTGACAAAAAGAAGAGAGCGTACTTCCAAAACAAAACAGAAACTTACAGCACTCAAAATCACGCGCCCACTGCATTTATTTCAGAGACTTTAAAACCTGAACAAGGGGGGTCTAGGATTTTCTTCCCCAGTGCGATTCCGAGAGGACTTTGATGTGGTCATCATCCCAGACCTCTTTTGCTATGAATGTCATTGCCTCTTGCCTTGCTCCTTTGCCTGCTCTTCCCCACCCCAAAGGGCCAGGTTAATCTACCGCCGATGACGCTGCTTTCCCTGGACACAGGTTTACACTGCGGTGACAGCCTGGGACATACTGTTACATACCAGCACGCCAAATAAGCATGATGGCGTGAAGTCTCACCTCACGACGCACAATCACATGCATCTACAGATAAACAACTGGGGGAAAAAACTAGACAACCCCTGCTTTAGGCATGTAAGCAAGAAACCCTGAGGAATGTTAAACAAAATCAAGGCAGTCGTAGGAAAGAATAACCTTTTTTTAAACAATATGCTGGAAAGGAAAAGTGTTTTCAACAACAGCCTCAGTGTCAGCAGAGCCCCCCCCCCCAGCTTGGCACAGATATGTTTACAAAGAAAGGCTCTGCAACGGATAACAGTTAAAGGACTGGTTCTAAATTATCCCCGTGTTCGTATCTCATGAAATTAAACACTCAGCTCTTCAGTTTCGATGTACAGTGTCATGAGTTACAGTGAATGCTACCTTCCTACACAGAGATTTGTGCAAGGTCACTTTTCATTTTCAACTTGATCACAATCTGAAGAGACCCAGGAGAGTAAATCTTCAGAAACTGTCCCGTATTCCTATTCAAGGCTGAGCTGCTCAGAAATAAGCTTATCGTACTTCTCGAGGCAAAATCTTTGGTAGAAAACTTATTTCTGAGTAATGAGTGTCAGTCCCTGATTTTTTCCATAAGAAACTGAAGGTTCCGGGACGTCCAGTGTGAGATTTCTTGTAAACAAAAATCCCCCAAATGTCAAGGAAACGTTGAAATATAGCAGGAAGCTGCTTGTGGGCATTACAGCCATACTATTTCTCTGGAACAGGGGGGAGCTTACAGCTCAAGCACACTTTGTAGTTTTATTTTTTAATGGAAAAGAAAAATATCCTGTCCTCAGAGTAGTAAACCAGTAATTGTGGTTTTGGAACGGGCAACAGCTAAATTATTGTAGTAGTGGCTGCTCACCTAAAATGTAATGTAATGGAATAATCAAAGTCCACATGTGCTCATCATTTCTGCTCTAAGGAAATCCCAGGCAAGGGAAAGTAACAAGTGCAGCAGATACTCATTTCCACTAGTCTGCTGCTGCAGGGCTCTCAGGACTTGTAGGACTGGACGTCTGCCACACGAGACACAAGCCCAAAAGGAGGCAGGTGGATCCATGATTCACTCCTGCGTCTGGGGGGGTCACAGCCCCGGATGATCCCCTGCCTTGGGGATCATCCTCCAAATCAGAAGGGCTAGGACACGCAGCTGAACACAGGGTTTACCCCGTTTCTGATCTCCCCATACAAACAATGAGTAGAGTATAAGCAGCAAATACTTGCTGCTAGATTGTTAAATTGAATTACAGCTGGCAATTAGAATTAAGACAACTGCCAAAGGACACGAACTAGGCAGAATGAACAGCAAATGACTGCCCTTTATAATTGTGACAGATGAGGTTCCATCCATCTCCGCTAGTCTCTTGGCCGGGATTTACTAAAAACCATTGGATAACGTAACAGACTTCACCTCTATCTGAACTCATCACATCTCTTTGTGCTTAAGATCCCTCATCCTCAGCTCGAGAAACTCACTTTAAATGCTATCTAGGTTTCATAGACATACAGTATATCCATGCACAGCAGGTTTCAGAACTGAGAGGAGTTACGTAGGCATGACATCACCAAGCATCCCAATAATTCCAAGCAGTACTGGATACGTATACATTGCGCAAACACACACTCTCACACACACATGTACATATATACAGATGAACATCAGTGCATTGCAAAGCAATGTGACAACTGCAACAGAAATGATAACTTCTCCCTCCATTTCACAGTGTTGAAGCCTGGCTCAGAAATACATTTACAAAATGAAAATTAAATTCAGACTTGCACTAGTTTATACATCGTTATCCAGGTTATTGCTAAATAAACACAAAGTAGAATAATTTTACACTGTACAGTACATTACAGACTGGAATGTATTTAAGTTAGAGGAAAAAAAAAACTAACTGTAAAACACTAAGACAGGACATCAGGATTTTACTCCTTCAGTTCTGGAGAAATGTACACCTAGATGTCCTGGACAATTCTGAATATGAACCTTGCCCAGGTAAGAGAGGTTATTTTCTCTTCAACGTGAATGACTGAATACCTGATGCAATAAAAAAAAAAAGGTTACAGGGCTTTTTCTTGAAGGTCTCAGGACAGCACATTCTTCAGTGACAATGCTGTCCCAACTGATGTCAAGGAGGAAAAACCCAGTTTCCAAATCTGTCTCTTCACAGTGCAGAGAGACCCGCACAACAAAGGAAACATCGGAAACAAGGCAGTGAGAGACCCCTTTGTCTTGAATATATCCGGTCACTCACAACCCTGAACCCCTATTCTGCTTTGAATTCTTTTCAGGCTGAGCCCAAAAAAAAAAAAAAAAACACTTTCAAGGCACCTTGAACTGTGACATATTTACCGCATAACCCCATTTAAAATAAACAACGCTTTAAAACAACACAAGTCTGTTCTTGTTAAAAAGGAATCAATATTTCATCGTGTGAAAAAAAATCAGTTGCGTGGAAAAGCCTAAAAAAATACACAGGCTGTAATACATGAAATGGCACCCTGGCAACATACTGGAGATAAACAGTATGAAATGGCACCCTGCAGCTTCTATTAATTCAACAAAATATCTTTATTAAGTACTAGAATGAATGAGTGTTTAATGAACTAAGATGAGGTATCACAGACATACTGTTTGCTGAATAAACTTAGAATAAATCTAGATGCAGAACACAGGGTGCCAAAGCATACTGTACGTCTTCAAAGGTGTATATGTCCTAACCACATGTTTGTTTTTGAAGTAGACATTTACCACCTGCTTCTTACTCAAAGTTGAAATGCTCTAATTCTTTCCAGGAGCTGACCGACTTTGAATTACGAGGCAGGCTTTTTTTTTTTTTTTTATCCTACGAGGGTCAATTAAACAAAAAGAACCTACAACTAGCATCCAGAAAAAAAAACAACTAAATCTGGAAGACGGAAATTGACGACGATCAGAATTGCACGCTGCCGCCAGGAAGGGTTCTGCGACGCGTACTCGAGTTTGTCTCCTAGCGGGAGAGCACGCCGGCTGTGCACGGCCGCACTCCCGTGCCCGAATGCACTGCAGGGGCCTTCGGAAACACAGTCTGTCCCGGCAGGAACGCTGCGGAGAGCATGGTTTATAGGCAAGTCTTCCACAGCCTGCCTCAGGACACCTCTGGAAAGTCAGGACTCCCAAGAGAGAAAACCTACACGGGCTCCAGGAACTGCAGGTTCAGTTGCTTCTCTCCTTTACACACACACCTTTTTTCAAAGCCAGACCTCAGTTTGTGTCCACATTTTTTTAACATTGTCTAGGTTAAATAAAAAAATAAAAATACAGAGAAAGAGTACAGCATGTTTCTGCAATGCAGTGGGAGATACATCGTCACCGCACTGACCGTAAAAACAAAATCAACATACCTCCAAAATAAAAACGGTCTTTACAAGACTTTTCTTTCACTTTATGGGTTACTTGACTGAATATCCTGTCCAACAGAATTTCCTGCCCAACCCTGCTAAGTATTTCGTATGTACCTGGAGGTCAGATACAGTGGAATTAATGTTGAACACTGTTCATTCTGCAAATTCAGATTAAAACTGACAGTTTAAAGAGCATATCTAATCACTATCATCTCATAAATGCCACATACCACATTAAAGAACAGTTTGTATTTCTTCAAATGCTCTTAAGGAAAGTACTCTCTATGAGACTGCGATACCGCACAAAGAAACGCACAAGTTAAAACGCTTAAAAGTTGGATAGAAAAATAATAGATTTAAGATTTTTTTTTTTTAGTATTTTGTTTTCAGGAAACGTCTCAAGTATCCTAGCAACAATTGCACTTTAGCTACTACACTGCAAACAAGTTACTGCACATACAGAGCTTCTGAGTAATGGCGTTTCACCTCCTCTGTCCATCCATCTCCAAGCATACAGGCAGCACCTTTTTAAGTCCATGGACAACTACAGTTTGAAAAGCTTTAAAATTAAGGGAAAAAATAATGTTGGACACGCTTCATTACGACTGCTGTGCTTGTGTGACTGAATCGACTGTGATGAGGACTGGATGACTGGGTACACAACCACGGAGAAATAAAATTAATCTTTTGGCAAGAGGATAGGAGCCGAGACGCAGCCAGTGGCCTTAAGACCAACTGATTTCACCCTCAACATAAGAAACACAAATATGTCAAACAGGCATCACAGTGTCCGAATTCTTAAAAGCAAGCAGAACTCTGGGAGGAAGCACCAGGAATCAGAAGCTCTGCTAATATGTGCAAGTAAGAAGAATAGCAAGTAAGAAGGTTGAGTTTAGAGACTTAGCAGGGTTGGCCTTTCTGGTGTAGCTATACCTCACCTGACATACGATAACATGACTTTTTTAAATAACATTTACCGTATGGCTACATAATGAAAATATACATTCCCATATTTATATAGAATTATCTTAAAAATACAAATGTGCAAAAATTGTAAACAAATTGAATCCCGTGTGGTGTGTGGACAGTCCTCCAGTGGGCTGTGCTGGACAGACTCACTCACAGCCTCGTAGGCTCCTCCTCACTGTCACTGCAGTTCCCACAACAGTCCTGTAGGGGGCAGCCAAGACAGGTGTGGGTAAGTAAGCATGCAACTAACGGTCACGCACACAGTGGCTATTAATGCTATAAATGCAGTCAGCCAGATTAGGCAACCACACCGAGCTGGAAGAAATGAAATGTGAACAAAGTCCTGCACAACTGGAACAATGAAATGCTCCGGATGTCGAAGAGAGACATACATCAGAGGGTACCAGCTCCACTGGATGCCCCTGAGAGAACGCAGGCAAGCTGTCCTGGGCACCAATAGTGGCCACACTGAACCAAATTCCTGTGCCTGAAAGTTCAGTCTTCTCATTACGGTTGTCTGCGAAGAACAGCTAACATTAACAGCATGTTTTACTCACAAGCCACGTAAGAAAGGCCGATACGATTTACAAGGTTTTAGTTTTATCCCCCTCCTGTTCAGTAAAATGTTCATCTATTGAGTGTTTGACCAAGAGCTCGATCGTCCTGGGGCTTATGGAAATGGGACACCAAGGAGATAGGTTTCCTATCGGGATTCAACTCCTGTATGGACCACTTCCTTCCAGCCAGGCACCTGAGAAACATGCTTCAGCGGTACAGTCTTTTACCCTGCGTTTCCCATTCTCGCAGTCCAAGCTCTCTCCAGACCCAACTCGCTGCGTGCTGCTGAGCCTGGACGTGTCTGAAGTGATGCCTGCTGCCCTGAGAAGTACTGCAATCAGCTGGGCAGGCAGCGGCGCGGTTTGAAGTGGTTTAATGTGAATGTACCACTACCCTGAAACGGAGCCCTGCTTGTCAAAGCTGAAGATTTACGGCTAGGACAAACAGTGTTACTCCACTGCTCTACAAACGGACACAGCGTAGCTCACACCCTGGATTTCATGTCCTCTTCACCGTGATCAAAAGAAAGTGCACGGGACTCTCCTCGCAGACAGGACCCTGCCCTGTCACGTGAAGTCCTAGCTCAAATACAGCACAGCCGTCCAGCTGGGCTGATACCCTTCTACAGTCCGCGGTATCAACATCAAGCCTTTTTTTTTCTCGAGTGCTCGAGCTGAATCCTGCGTGACCTGCTCGCACTCCTCGCTGTGCTGTGCTCGCATTCTCTGTCGGAGCTGCTCGCGTGATTGAGCCAGACCGCGAGGCCTCTCCTTCTTGCAGTACAGGGGAAGCCCCGACTCCTACCTGCCTCCCGAAGAGCCTCTGCAGCAGGCCTTGCTTGGGCTGCGGCGACGGCTGGCCTCTCCAGTCCAGGTCTGGCGGCACCGGTCCGTCTGTGTAGAACACATTCAGCTCTGTGAAGCACTCCGTCTCGATCATCTGGGGGAGAAGCAGCAGCAGGCCTGTCAGGTCTCGGGTTCTCCATTCGTACTGACATCACCGGGCGCTGGAAGCGCCTACAGCTGCTCATACTGTTGTTTGAATCGAGTTTCAACGTCACGAAAAATAAAACTTAGAATATAAGATAAGATCACTTTATTGGCCATATACAATTTCTTGCGTTACAAATTTGTATTTTTGCATACCCCAGCTGGGGGTCAGAGCGCAGGGTCAGCCATTTATACGGCACCCCTGGAGCAGTTGGGGTTAAGGGCCTTGCTCAGGGGGCCAACGGAGTAGGATTCTGCCTGCCAGCCACAGTCATAGATCCTTAGCCACAGAGCCACCACTCCGCCCAATATACTCGCGAATATACTCCCACCTCGCTTGTTCTGTGCAATGTTCTCTTACTTTCTGGTTCATGGGACTCCCCTCTTTTTAGCTACATTTTAAGTATGTGGACATGCATTTAAAACGGAGAGCAGGAGGCACTTCTTTATGCAAAGGCTTGTGGGAGTCTGGAACGTTATCGAAGCCAGCACTCCGGTTTCATTCAAGAAACGGCTGGATGAGACCTTGAATTAATTAGCTACAAAAAAACAAATGAGCTAGATGAGCCGAACTAACTCAAATTATTTGTGACCTTTCTCATTTCAAGCGGACAACCGTTCTCTGAAGGTCGAGACCCCAACGGAGGTGTGCTGGTCAGTGGGGACTGTTAGACGGGAAGCACCTCCGACTGTGTACCTTCCATGTACAGTGCAGCGACGGCATCAGGAACTGAACGATGAATCGTGAATAATGAATTCATAAATGAATGAACGAATGAATCATGTAAAAGGCAAAGCACAGCGATGTGGTCCCTCTAGAGGCGACTGCGAAGCAGAACAGCCAGGCAAAAGCCCAGCTCGAAAGGAATGTTAGACTCGGATTAAGGGAAATGAAACTTGTTTGCTCGGAACAGACAAGATTTCATTCCAACATTTAAAACCTCAAGGGGCACCAGGCTAAACCAGGGGATTTTCCCCCCAAGATTGACAACACATCATTCTGTACCTATCCACTCCCCTTGCCTGCTGGTGATTCTGGAATGCTTCGAGGCAGAGCACGGATAAATGTCTTGGATCATTAACCTGCTTTTAACCAAATGAGCCGTATGGCTGAACGGCCCCCTCCCGTCTTCGAACCTTCCTCAGGTTTTCACGCACAGCTCCAGCTGCCACGTCCGTCCACATCCCTATCTGTTTGAACTCTAAAATTTGTACTCCTGTTCAATATAAAACCTGTCCTTCGGTGAAGGAGACGTTACGAGTAATTATAACTGAACCACTTGGGGACTGTATCACTTAAATAAATAGATGAGATTTACTACAGTATAATAATTTCTATTCTGTCGGGAGAGGTCTTAGAAACAGTAGAGAGTACCCCTGGCACAGTAACAGTGTTAATCTGGCTGGGCACACAAAGCATTGTGTTAATCGGTAAGGGGTTAATGTGTGAACAGGAGCACACCAAGCATAGTTGTTTCCCCAGCATGAAAGAAAACAACAACAAAAAACATTTTGAATACATGCTGTGCTTTCACCGATTTGGAGTTAAAAAAAGAACGAAGAAAATAATTATTTCAAGAGCACCAATTGTTCGGTGTAAAGGTCACGGTATTATTGGGCTATTTTAGAGTTAGGTTTTTTTTATAGCTGCCTGAACAAGGCACCGTTCGCCATCCGTATTACTCGAACAGAGAAGACAATAAAAAACAGAAACAAAGCAGTAGCCATGTAACCTGGTCTCACCTCGTTCTGCCAGGGGATGGACACGCTGCCCGTGGAGACTTTGCTGTAGAAGCTGCTGTCTTTGGGCTCCAGCTCCACTCCCTTCACCGTGGAGAACTGCTCGATGTCCAGCACGTCCTTGCAGTAAATGGCCTGGGGCTGTAGGGGGCGCACACAGAGCGAACAGCGGCTGAGTGCCGAGGGTTTAGGCAGAGGGTACGGTGACAGCAGGCCGAGATCAAACACAGGAATGGCCCGGGCTTGTGCACACCTCCGAGGTTGGAAAGGTTTATCCTAACACATCGTACCACTGTCAGAGCGCTGGACAAAAACGAGAGGGAGTTACTGGGGAGATAAGGAAAAGCTACTTTCACACCTGTGATGCACCAGCTGACCCCTGCAGTTCAGCTGCGGGACTATCGAGCATGTAGAGGTGAGGCGTCATCTGAACCAGACCCCCAGACCCCCAGAACATACGTTACTGAGCTGGGGGTATGACTCAAGGTGATGACGGAAAGTTGCAACCCTATTAGCACCTAACAGCATGCTGAGGAATCCACAGCAGCAGGTACCAGCACACATCCACTGTCAGCAATAGCAGATGTCTACACCTTGTTTAAAATTACTGCACACAGCCCAACAGGATCTGCCTTCGCAAACCAGGTAAAGGACTGGCCCCTGGACTGAAATTAGTTTTTAGTTTTAGCATATTAATATCCAGCAGTATAATGCAAGTTATATCAGCTCACATATACTTATATAGTTTGTGACCCCACTCAGTAAATTCACAGCATTAGGCCACATCACTGGAATACAAACAAAATGGTGGCTCTAGAGAGAACAGGACTACTGCCATCTCAGCAAGATGGGGTTTTACATGTTCTGTAAATGTCTTAATAGTAGTTTTTTTATGCACGGTTTTCAGAGTTCAAGTTTCTGCGAGATTCTGTAATGATCTGAAAATGTTGCATTATTTATGAATCACCCTGTCACTCGGTCTGAGCAACAGTGGTGCAATTCTCTTGCAACATAAAAAATAGGAAGCTGTAAAGGTAACAATGACTGTTAGGCAACTACAGGAAAATAGTTATTAAACAATATTAAAACTGACAAAGTAAAAAAGTGGCAGCAGACAATTTGGATACAGAGACTCAGACAGGATGTGCCTGGGAGAAATAAAGTAACTTAGACCTTTAACAGACTGTTATTGTTTTGCACTGGAGTTTCTATTCAGGCTGCTTACTAATGTCTGCCTCAGGACTTCCTTGTACTGTAACAGGCTAAGGTCTAAGTGTTTGTGCAGTATGCATGCAAGTCGACAAATCCATGAAATTAGTTCAAGGTTTGAGAAGATCAGTTGTCCTTCTCAAACCACTCACTGGCCAAAACAGATGAGACCTCCACCACACAACATGTTGGGCCTACAGCTTCAACATGAATTGGTATGTATTTCTCAAACATTTATCTCACTGAGCAGGACTGAAGCTGGAATAGTAGTGTGTTGGGTGGAATTTCAATAGGATTAAGGTCTGGGGATTGCTGTGTCCGGAGCATTTAAGAACAGCCACAAAGGAGAATAAGTCATTTGTCTAGTGTAGCCCATTTAGTAAATAATAGTGAACTGATCCAAGGGCCTGAACTAGTTGGTTATGTGTAAGAATCCAGGGTATTAGCTTTAACAACATGGCTGGACAGCCTTTTCCATAATCCTCTCTGAACTCCCAGAACCCTCTGGATAAAGAGGTGTCTCTTCTGTTTTAAGCGCACTTCCACTTGTTTACGCTGGTTCGGGTTTCACTGCTCAGCGCACTTCACAACAATGAGTTGGCCTCATCGATGGGCCTCAGGACCATTCGTACTTGCATCAAGTCCCCTGACAACCTTCTCTGCTTGTGAGAACTGAAAAGGTTCAGCTCATCCAGCCTGTCAGCATAGGACCTTCCCTTAAGCCCTGGAACCTGGTTGCTATTCTCTGGACTGACTCCAGAGCAGCAGCATCATTTCTAAGAAACAACCAAAACCAGGCTCCTAATATTTTGGCCAGTGAGTGTACATGACGTGTTGCAGTGATCCTTCCACACGGGCAAAGTGGCAGACGCCAAAAGCAAGACTTGCGCAGCATTCTTGCTCATCGCGTGCGGGCTGCTCGCTGCCTAGCAGACGAAACGAGTCCGGCTGCGGCATTCACAGAGAGTGGGGGCGCCGGGGCTGGCCGGCTCGCCCTGTGGCCCACTCACGTCAGGAATGAAGGGGGCCTCCAGCATGCCTGCCTCCAGCCGCTTGAAGTTGATGGACCGGAAGAGAGGGTGCGCCTTGACCTCTGAGGCCCCGCCACCCCGGCAGCCAAGCCTCTCGCTGGGGTCCTTGACCAGCAGCTGGGTGGACAGGAGAGAGTGTCTTTATTATCCCCAAGGGGCAACTTCTTTTACAGCAGCAGACAATATCAATAATAATAATAATATTATTATTATTAATAATAATAATTGCTTACACTTATATAGCGCTTTTCTGGACACTCCACTCAAAGCGCTTTACAGGTAATGGGGACTCCCCTCCACCCCCACCAGTGTGCAGCCCCACCTGGATGATGCGACGGCAGCCATAGTGCGCCAGAACGCTCACCACACACCAGCTCTCAGTGGGGAGGAGAGCAGAGTAATGAAGCCAATTCATAGATTGAGTTCATGTTTATTTGTCATTCCAGCCATGTACAAGTATACAGAGGAGCAAGATATTGTGTGTGTGCGCGCAGGTACGGGGAGAAGCTGCGAGACACCCACCACCCTGCACAGAGACTTGGCCTCCTCGGAGAACTTGCTGGAGTACTCCTCCTCCACCTCCTTCACCAGCCGCTCCACCTCCTCCCTCTTGATCTTCTTCTTGCGCTGCTGGAAGGGGGACTGGCCCTCGATCATCTCGTACAGCAAGCAGCCCAGGGCCCACCAGTCCGGGCTGAAGGTGTACCTCTCGTTCTTCACCACCTCAGGGGCTGCACACGGGCCAAAGAGAACCAGGCACACGCGTGAGCAGGGCCCCACAGTCTTACGCCTGCCCCTTTCACTACGCATTTTAAAAAGACGGGAACCGGTGCTCCTAAACACAGACTGCAAACCCGTCTGTTCCCAGGACTGCAGTCAGATATGAGGAAACGGACACTAGCTAATGAAATGAATATGCAAAGTACTCAGTGGACCTGCATGAAAACGTCTACGGAAATATTCAATCATACTGTAATGTAGTGTCTTTAAATTCATAGGCAGCGGTTCCACAGAGTCATCAGGACAGGTAGCACTGCTCCTGGACTATGCACCATCTTAACAGATGCTTAAAAGGTATTCACTGGTTGACCTTCGTGCATAAATGTTTATCTCCGAGACATAATGTGTCATAAGCCACTGGTGGGTGCGAACGCTAATAACAGTGCTCGGTGGCCCAGGCACTAATCTCTGGTTGCAGCACTGGCTGTACCGATACAGAGCACTAAGGGAACAGTCTGTCTCTGAATTCAGCTACTCGGCCCCTTTTATGGTAAGGCACACGCTGATCCTCCAAGCCGGTCAAGCGGAACGGAGCCTTGTTCCCGGGATTTCATACTGTTTACATTAAAAATGTTTTCTTTGACTGGTGGGTGTGGGTGAAAGTGGACTTCATGCTGTTATTCTTGGATTTAACAAATAGCACAAGGAACTTGAAGGACTTGCAGCTCTAGTTATGTTTGAGATGTAAACCCGCAATGAAGACTTTGTTGAATATGTATGAGGAATAAACTACATGGGAGAAATTTGCTCCCACTCCTATGTTTTTTAGCACAAAAATGTAGTTCAAAGCTTTATTCATTTCTCGATATGAAATTTAAAAAATGAAAGCGTTGTACCCATTCTAAAACACTCACAGGACTGTCACGTATGAAATAAGGAGCACAGTTTGTATCCTGAAGCTGGAAAGGGTGATGGGACACGACAGCCTGCGAAGTCGGCACCTGCCCTTCCAATGGCTTTGTACAGTGTCAAAGAAACTGGCCCAGCGTCACCTGGAGCCCTCCAGAGGTTAATCTGCAAGGTGCTGACCAGGCCCAGCCTCACAGAGCTGCAGAGATCGGACGGGACCAGGACACCAGGCAGGCGGGCACGCTGCTGGCCCTGGCAGAGGGCTGGTCCTGCTTTCTGCATAGACCTCAAGTCCTTTCAAAATGGTCTTAGACCCTCACGCCGCCAGGTCGAGCCCAGGCAATTTTTTCACCAGCGTGGATGTCTGAGAGCTGACAGGCTACTTTGTGCACTGAGGATTTAAGGCAGGCATATGCAGGAGGGATTTTTTTTTCCCCAGTTTCACCAGGCACACTTCAGAATTAGTATGGCGTAATTTGATGATGAGCAGACAGGCTGCCGGTGACATTTCAAAAGAGGACACGAATTTCCGACATTGAAGATTCATTTATAAATGTGGCTATTACTAACACTCCAAAAACATGAAGAAGACAATGAGCAGGGGGCAACGCAGTGGAATGAGGTATAAAGGGAGAAATAAACTCACCCATGTAGCCCACTGTGCCAACCCTGCCTTTGATTGTCTGATCTTCGGGCACATGTACTGCCAGCCCCAAGTCCGAGATACGGATGTGTCCTGAAAGGGAAAGAGCCCTCAAGCATAAGGGTCTTCTCATACGCTACTTTCATATTCTTTAACTCAACTTAGTCATCTCCTTCCAAACAGGAACGTGTGTTCAAATGCCAAGAACGTTACGGACTTCACCAGAAACCAGGAACCCTTGCTCGTCTAAATATGGGAGTATGAAACTGCTCAACTAAGCAGACACGCGTCTTTCTTTCCAGAGCCTGCCTACCAGTTCAGTGAAGACAGTAATGGAACGCAGTGCAAGCCCTGCTGAAAGGAAACCGACCCCTGAAACGTGAAGGGGAAACACTTTCATTTATCCAGGTTATCTAAAATGGCTCAGCAGGAAGCTTCCCGTGAAGAAAAACTGTCTTGGATGTTGCAGAGGTAACTAGCCCTCCCCAGAGGCACAGCGGCAGTACAGCGGCACCATCTACAGGAGATGTGGGGGATGGCAAACCCAAAAAAGCAACAGCACTAACCCACACGATTCTTTCTTGCCAAGTTTGCACACGCAAAAGATGACAGACTGGCGACACTCATGCAATTTGGATTATGTGAATCATTCTGGTGAACTTTGTTGCAATAGAAATCCTTTGTAATTTTTCACGCATCTATTATTGCAAAAATAATAGGGGAACACCCTAACATGAGTTCTGTTTTTGTAGATTAAAAAAGTTGAATCTTTTACAACAAACTATGTTCCAAGTAGGGCACTATTATCCTTCTGTTGTATCTGGGTTCTCTATGACCAGGTGGAATATGACATGTTTGTGTCAGACAAAGACTTTAAAAGATGAATATTTTAAGTTATAGGCAAATACGAAGCACAGTAATAAAGGAGGCAAGGTGATTTTTTAAATTAATTTTTCATTCATAATTAAATTGTATATTCTATATATGTATATACTTTTTCATACTTAATGGTATAAAATATTTTTACAAGATACATTTGGTGTTATATTTACTAGAGCAAAAGTGATAGAATCTAAGATGTAAGATGGAGAGGGAGAACTACCCTGGTTTTAGCCTAGGTTTGGCAGAGCAGGTAAATCAGATTATATTTGTGTCCAGCAACTGTCACTAATTATCTTAAATTTTACTCTCACTCACCGTGGTCATCCAGCAGAATATTTTCTGGCTTGAGGTCCCTAGAATAAATAAACCAGCAGTTAAAAGAAGTCTTAATGTTGTCTGCTAAAGTAAAAACGAACTCATTCAGGTGTGCTCGAAAACATACCGGTACACTATTCTCTCCCTGTGAAGATCCTCCAGACCACAGCAGATCTCAGCAGCGTAGAAGACGGCTCTGTTCTCATCAAAGCCAGCATCCCCCATGTGGTAGATATGGAATTTCAGATCGCCCCCATTCATCAGAGTCAGCACAAGGCACAAGGCATCTTTAGTCTCATATGCATATGCCAAACTCACCTCCAGGGCAAGAAATCAAGAGAAAACGAAAAAGAAATTCACTGAAGTGAAGCACAAACCTTTCTGTGTATCTCATGTTAATATAATCACTTAGGACTTTTGTGTATAGCCAGTGACACAAAACTTCCACAAGTGCTCTCATGTAATCTGTAAACCCTGTGAATTTGATGACATCTGGAGACGCTCGACGCTTTAATCCTCTTGATTAAAAAAAACTGCCAAGACCACCAAGTGAACTGTTCAAGGCTTGCCTGACCCCACAACAAACCCACTAAATGAAACCTAATCCGCTGTCTTTTTTCCTTAAAGTGCGCAGTCATCCTGCCCCTGCATGGCTTGACGCCGCACTGGTGGCAAGAGTGACAGCTCACCATCACAACAGCCTCGCGGGGCGGCGGGTTCAGGGTCGCTCCGCGCTCTTGCTCTGCAGCGTTACGCCCGGAGGAACTGGGAGAAGTTCGGAAGACCGTGTCCGAGAAGGAGGGTGCACGGGGCCTCTCCCAGGGACGGAGTGACTACTTGTCGAGGAGAGGAGGAGGAGGAGGAACTGGAGCGCACAGAAAGCAGCTGTCTGGGAGGATCTCCCTCTCGTGCGAGACCACAACAACCGCGTCACAGCCTCCTTCTCTTCCACATCTAAACACATCGCTCCCCCTCAAAGGCCGGGTCTCTCCTGAACAACGCCGAGAGCAAGACGACACAAAACCTCAAGCAAAGTTAGAACAGTTCCCATGTACTTACTACAAACCTACTGTTCACTTTTTCCAGGATCTGTTTCTCGTTCAGTGCCATGGACTCCCCTTTCCTCTTTTTAATTCTCTTCTTCTCCAGCTTTTTGCAGGCGTACATCTTCCCCGTGGCTCGTACCTGGCACGCACACACCTGCAATTCGGAGGTTTATGGATTTAATCTTTACGTTGTACAGCAATAAAATAAGTATTAGTATAACTATTAAAAAAGCAATAATAGTATTAATTCAGCAATTTCATGCAGGGAAAGATTCACACGGGGATTAGAAAAGTTCATGTTTTTAAATGTCTAAGCATACAGCGACAGCCATAATCATGACGCCACCAGGAGATCCTGGAGACCCCAGCCTTATGTTGTGTTAAAATGGTGTCTGACGTCAGATTCTCCTTGGGAATTTTATCACGCATGGCCTAGGGAATGCTCACTTCCCTGTCCATCCAGATGGCCACATTTCCAAACAAGAGTGGTCATTTCAATAATGTACTATAAACAGGCATCAAAACATATCTTCCGTTTCATTTTCGTTTGAGGAGTTGAGCATACATTTTTAATAGATATCAGTGGGTTCTTGGTGTAATTACATTACAGGCATGGATGTTTTGTCAGAGGATGGGATAAAACCTCATACTCTGGAGGAGAGCAATTCAGTGGGCGGGGGACTGCATTTTGCGGTTCAGATTACTTTTACTCTGAAACACAAGTGCAGGAACAGAGATTTCCAGCCCTTGAGAGCTACAAGGTCCTTCTCTGACTCAATCGACCTAATTGTTTGGAAGTCAAATCACCTGTTCTGTTAGGTGTTCATCACTTGCTGATGGAAAATACCTGTAAAAATCCGACCCTGCTCAAAACTGAACTACACAGAAGAGGGAGCACAGCTTCTGTTAAAAGTAAGAGAAACGAAGGTGTGGAAGCTGAATCGCTTACTTCTCCGAAGCCTCCCTTTCCCAGCACCCTGTACTGGCGGAACGTGTTCTTCGTCACCGGCTGCCTAGAAGATGGAGAGGAAATCGGAGCTGGAGCAGACTGAGAACATGTTCATTCGGCTAAGGCAGCAATCCCACACCCCAGTCCCGGGGGAGCAGAGCTCTAAACCCATTAGTGTTATCTGACGAATTCAACTCATCCGCTTGCTTGATTGGACTTTCAGGTTTCCCGTTTTGGCACTCAGTCCTGAAGGATTCCCGATTTCAGTGGCACTGTTTCCAAAGCATTCAGCCTTTCTCACTTACCCATATTTATGAATGCACAGTGATTAATAAGTAATCAATTAATGGAAGAACAGACAAAAGAGTGACAGCATGTGGCACCGAGGAGTGGTTCCTAGTCCTGGAGGACCACTAGTCTGCTGATTGTCCTTCCTGCTGAGCTCTAAATCTCTAACTAACTGATGACTTCACTGATCTGCTTGCTCACTTAGCAGATCATTTCCAATACCTCCAGCAGACAGAACTTCATACCACCTCTCCCCAGCTTATTTGCTGATATTTCTGAATGAACAACTCTTGTTAGCGGATGGTGAGCAGAGCTGTATCAGATAAGCCTACAATGAGCATTTTGTTCCTCCTGCATAGGTTGTTGGTCATGTGGCAGGCATGAGGGAACAATGAAATTGGTATGGGGCTGATACTGGCTAGAAAACCCCACTTAACATTTTGAAGAGGTGGAAGCAAATTGAAACACGTGGCCCCTACAGAAAAATGGAAATCAATTAGACGAGAACTCATTCGGAGCAAAATACAGAAGAGAAGTGGGTCCCCCAGGATTACCAGTGGGAACATTTCATCAATGTGGAAAATCAGCAGCTTTAGTGCTGGGCAAGACATCGTTTTAAAACCCACTACTTAGATACCAAACAACCGCTTCGGGAATAAAATATCAACGCCATTAGTTCCCGGCCATCAACAGCTGCACAAACCACTAGATGTAAACACACCCAGCAGAAACGGCCTGTTCGAAAACGATGGCCTGCTACTTGTTCTGGAGCCGGGTGCTGGGGAATACATACCTCTCCAGCCACTTCCATTGCAGGAATCTGTTGAAATACATGCTGTCGATGTAGTCTGCAAAGGGAGCCACGCTGAGATAGTCATGGATCAGCCTGTAATGAGGAACGAAAGGGATTCACACCTTGTGACTTTTAATTTCAACAGTAGGGCCCTGACTCTGGAGCACCGCATGCCAGCCTTCTGCACGACTTCAGCAGTTCAGCACAGCTAACACTCGACAGATGCTTTTCCGCGTTTAACGTTTGCTCTTGACCGCACAATCACTCAACGGCCCAGCACCGTGACTTATTTCACCGTCTTAGTTCTCTCTCTCTCTTTCCTTTTTTTTCCCCCCAGTGTTCTTAACAATCCAGTCCTCCCCGAGTACTCACCGATGGGAGAGAAACAGGCAGGTTCATTCCAAGGTGGCAAGTCAGAAATGCTGCCAAGCCCCGAGAAGGACTAAACTAAGCCTGAACGCTTACTGCCTGAAACCTGTGTGTCTAAGGCTTGACTTATGAAGACACTGGTATTGTCTGCTGCCTCAGTAGCTCAGTACAGCAATGTCCCTTTAATCAGCAGCTGAGCCTACATTCGATTTTCCCACAATAAACAATACTTTCCCCTTATATTTTAGCAGTGTTCTCTGCCAGAATGAATGCCTTTCTTCGCATCCATCACCTACACCCCCCTACACCACACCTGCACGTCTCAATATATTAGGAGGTGGGGTCACACCCTGAAAACCTGAAGACGGAAAGCTTGGCTCACACCTTCCTGGACAACAGCGTAACAAAGGCAGAGGCGGAGACGGAGGGAAGGAGGGAGGGGGGGTGTCTCCTCTCTCGAATGAGAAGGTGCCTGCTGAACCACTCACTTGGTGCAGCTCTTGAAGAGCTCCTTGCAGGGCTCCTGCTGCAGTCTCTCCGTGCAGCTGGCCACCAGCTCCTCGGGCAGCTCCGGGACGCACTCCTCCGACTGCGGGGCGACACAGCACACTCACTGCCCGCGCCCACGTGCTCACCGATGCCCTCGGGGCACTCCGGCGAGTGGCGCCAAGGAAACACATGAGGTTTTAAAACTGCCATAACACTTTCAAGCCTTATCAATTAGGCTGCAGTTAGAGACTGTAAAGCCCACTGCTCTTCTTCTTTCTACCCCATTCCCCAACACAAAATGCAAGTTTGCTCGTACTCATCAAAAATTCAGAGCTCTTATGTGCCGCCGACTGAAAAAAGCAGTCTATCAATTCTGCAGCGATTTTACATACTTTGTATGGATGTAAAAAGAACTTTGCACACTTAGAAGAAAATCCAATGGATTTGATCCTTTGGTTTCTGTCAATATTATTAATACTGAGATAAAAGGATAGTACTGTTGAAGAGGGTATTTTCTAATAAGGTCACCCAATAAGGTGCAGCACTTAAAATGCAATGTAACAAACTGCATGACTATGTGCTACAGTACAGCAGGTATAACATAATCTGAGAAAAAAGCACAGAAATAAGAGGTAAGCATTGCTCATGGAGTTGCAGGCTGTACCTTTGGGTTTAAGTACTTTTCTATTAACTGTTGTCCACACTCCTCTCTCTTCTCGTCTGGTGTGACTTCATACTCTGCCTGTTTGAAGAGAAAATTGAATAAAAGATGCTGTTTGCTACCAAGTGACCTTCTGAGCACCAGAAAACTTTACAGCTCTGTAGAACTAAGAAATTGTTTTTATGGCTTCCTTTTCTTTTTCATTTAAATTACAGCACAATATTCACATTTTCCTCAATTCAGGTAGGTCTCCTGTAAATTGTAATTAAGATACAATTTAGAAAATGTACTGGATGAAATGACATTTGCTTTTTTGCCCTGTGCCTTTATAGTTTTCTTTGTTACCCTAGTTGGAGATGTTCTGTTTCAGACGTTTATTATCCTGCCAACAACAAATTAAAATCTCACGATGGAAGTTTTGTTTGAAACTAATTGAAACCAGTCATCAAGAATCGGATGTGTGATTTACAATTTGCAGGTGGAACATTGGGGCTTTCAAAATGGTTTATTGGCATCAACTTGCTCTGAAACTCAGTTCAGCAGAAACAAGGCCTTCTGTACCTCTCAGCAGAATTAAAGACTGGGACTCTGATCAGCACATCCACTGGCAATTTCTTTTCTTAAAGCTCAAAATCGTCAATTGATCTTTAAGTCCTCCCAATTCAGAATAAGCAACAAGCTGGCTTTCCTCCAACATCCACGCGCTTGGTTCATTTGTGGTTTGCCACGACAGGAGGTCTGGCATCACCTGGATGATTCATAGAGCTCTGAACTGGACGTTCTGAGTGTCTTAGAAAGTGCTCACAAATAAACAACAAATTAGTTTTGTTGTTGTGCGTCTCTCACTGGCAGTACTGCAGCCTCGAGGGCACCTGGCAAAGGCACAGGCACAGCCAAGCCCAGGACTGCCTGACTCACACCTATGCTGCCCCTGTGGCTCCTGGCCAGCTCTGTGCCAGCGGTAGGGGGATCCCTGTCACCGTTCGGCCTGAGCCATTCCAGTCAAGCACACACACTGAGCTCTGGGGCTTTCTTCCCCCTGCGAGCTGAGAGCACGCTGAGCCCCCTCCAGAATCATATTCCCAAACAGCAAATAGATCTTCATGCAGGGCTCAGGAGCAGAACCGACAGGGTTTGTATCTGGAAATCCATTTAAAAGAAAAACATGACAACCATTTGAAATGACACGGGATTTTGTGAAACGCTCTAAAACCGATGGGAAGTCTTGTCCCTTTTTAAAACGTCTGCTGAGCTACAAGCCTTCACAGAATAAATCAAACGAATCATAAGCCGACTTGTTTAAACCCGCATGTGTCCTACACCACCGCTCGCAAATTTCTCTTCACCTGTTGACACTAAAACGGCAAGACCACCACTTCTCAACATGCACCACCATTAAGAGAAAACAAGCCTGTTTGCACCTTCCAGGACTCCGACACTCACGAGCACTGGAAGTCATTCTGCATAAATCAGGAACAACACAGTGAAACACTCTATGAACAGCTCTACAGGAGAGAGCCTACTGCACCCACCTCCTTATGCAGGCTGTATGACCATCTATGTCACACTACTGGAAATTACCTAAATAATTGCCGAAGGCTGGTTAAACATCTTCCTTATTACAGAAAACAAGCCAAGGCAACAGTAAACAAGCAGACCTAGACTGGAGACCGGGAGCTTTGCTTCACTGCATGTGAAGCCGGACAGGAGTACTGCTGAAACCCAGATGTATGCAAAAGCCCACCTCCCATATTGTCACGGGGGTAGACGAGTGAGGGGATAGCACCGAGCCAGAAGAGACTGGCTGCCAAGCCGATATCGGCACAGCACACCACAGACAACCATATCTGCCAAGCAGCGTTGAAAATCTGGCCTGATTTTATCATCGGGAGAACTTAAATAAACAAGTGCACAGCAGAAAGCAGAGTCCCTTGAGAGTGGGTGGGAGGGAAACTTACAGATGTGACCTAAACAGAACTAACCGCTCAAGGTACTGTTCACGGAGGACCAGCTGGACCGAGGAGGAGGAGGAGGGGGGGAGGGAGAGGCAGACAAGGGTGGTACAATGACGCAGTTAGTGAACCCCTCAGTCCCAAAAGTCAGATTTCCTGCCCAGGATTTCCTGTCTATTATTTAATCTCGAAAAAAAAAAAAAAACTTTTACCAATACATCCCACCCCAGAACTACTTTCTGTTGAGCTCTATGTGAATAAAAAATAATAGCATGGCAGACTCGGACGTCATCGTGCTCCTTACCACAGCGTCCAGGAATCTGACACACCGCCCAAGCTCCGGCCTCGTGTCACAGAACTGCCGGAAAAGCAGACGTCCGATTGGTTGCTTCTCACAAAGGCTGTGGTAGTCTTTCTCTGTGGAATTGACACAGCACAAAGCGGAATAAGTTGAAGGACATCACAGAGCTGTCAGCCCCTGAATAAGGGAACAACCTCACTACATTGGCAATCAGACAGCAGCCCCACAGAAGCCACTCCGACTTGCACACGTTTGTTAAGCTACAGATAGGAATGCATCACTGGGCTTCCAAAACCTATTAAAATTCTCACGGAACTCTTGAACAACAACGATCCGTTTCTGATCCGATGTTGCAGGGCGCTTAGCACGCATAAAGTAAACCGGAACTGTCGGCATGGCTAAAAACCCATTAAAGCAAATGAACCCTTCACACACGACATCATAAAGAAAGGACTTAACAGGTAAAAACCTAGTCCTCACAGAAACACTGGAGGACGGCTGCCAATGTCACTATGGCTTGTTAAGCATAAACAAGGCATGTTCACTGCCGATGTCAAGGGTACGGAACAGAAATTCTCCCTGTATTGCCTCCAGTGCGAATCAAGGCGTACTAGAACAATACATTTGCATGTGGCGTGAAGGCTAATGCAAACACGCAGGAGGTTTTATGCAAACCGACACCTGTAGCTGACTCGCCAGACTGTTATTTCAGTTCCTGTCCTCTCTGCTTTGTTACGCTGCGATGTTTAGAAAGCGATAAACCAGTTGCTTTCCATCCGCAATAAGAGGTCCTGAAACAGAAGCACGGTCAGTAATACTCAAGTGATGAATAGCCATTGGAAGGAGCAAACCAGTGTCTGGTTTTCGCCATGAACGAAGATCGCACAAGGCAAGAGCCCTGCTCTCGCGCACATCTGCAAGTCTCGACAAAGACTTTGCAACCGGCAGCACCCCAAGCACAGAGTGGACAATAGCATACTTGACTGGTAGCTTGGCCTCACACTCCTACGGTGATGAGAAAGGGAAAACATTATCACAGGGGATGAAATACGGGAGTAACATGGGAAGACCTGGGGGGTTAACATGTCACGAAACCGTAAAATTGTCTTCATTGACATGACATGTGAAGATGTCCAGTCTTGCAATAAGACTATATTAGATATTTCAACAAGTCATTTGTTGTTGTTTTTTCTAATATTTCTTGGCTTCAGTTTGATACCACCTGACTGAAGTATCAGCCAGCAAACAAGCAAAGGAAACACAAGCAGATTATTACCAGACTTGAATAGCACATAAGACAAATCCACTTAATTTAAAAATAAAAATATTAAACTTGCATGACAGAAAACTGAAGTTCACATGAGTTTATCAGATTACAGGTAACTCTGTGGCTGCAAAACTCTGTTTTGGAAAATTACAAGCCTTTCACACAGAATTCAAACAGACAGCAGCGAAATGCAACATCAAAGCACTAAAATGCCACATCATACCGTATGTGAAGAATCGGTTAATTATAATGCATTCAGATGTACTAACAAGCAAACCAGCTGCTTTTTGATGTTGATTAGCTCTCATTAATGGACACCAATAAACACAAAGCATTACTGACAGATGTCCAATATATTCCGCGTTAATGTGGAACAAAAATATTTTGCTACACTTAACAGGTAGGAGCAGAGGGCTGCAGCAAGACAGCTGCTGTGGATGAATTCAGGCAGGGCCGAGAGTCTGAGAGGACCAAGTGATCAGACGGACCACACAAAAGGAAGCTTGTGTGTACAATGTTGTCTTCGCTGCCTTGGTCCTCGATAGGCTGTCCTTCGTCTCTCTTCTTCAGTAAACACGGAAGCTGTTGGTTTCCTGACTCGCAGCCTCACAACTGTTCCTCACAGGCCTCTGCCTGCTACACCCTGCTAACCAAGGGCGGGCAGGAGGGTGTTTCCGACGACAAACTGTCGCAAGAGGGCGAATTCCTGAATGCTCTGTTAGAGACCAATACCTGAATAATGGATGAGATTATCAGGTTCATTGACTGTCTCAATCCGTAAGGGACTCATCAGAAAGGTAGAAGACAGCATCTCCTGTCTATGCGAAGACCAAGATCTCAAATAAAGGAGAGTGAAGTCCACTTAAGTGCAGGTTGCGCTACGCAACACACAGACTATATGCAAACACATAAAAATGTCAAGCTAAGTTTGTGCAGTGTTTTGAACTGGAGCTATCTAAGGTCATTCTTATTCTTACACAGGATATAGTTTGGTTTATGTCTGATCAGATGTGGCAGAAGTCGGCAACAGTATGCTAGAAATACACTTTCTGCTCTTGTACACTACAGTGAAGCGCTATATATTTTAAAACTCATGCCATTACTACTATGAGAAAAAAAAACCTGACATTAAGAACTAAAGAGACGCTTGTCTTTCAAAACCAATCATTCTGTTGCCGGAAAACACATATATAAGGGCGTATACAGTATATAACGGCTGTCAGGAATGTGAACCACTGAAGATAGGAAGTGAAGAATCCCCTCAAGCCAACTTTTGAGTTTCTCTTTCTGTGTTCAAATGCCTTAACAATACTGTCTTTTTGTTTCTTTGCCCTTTGAAATCTGTGACTCACTGACGGTGAATTTCTTCGCCAGTTTGCTTCCGTTTCTCTGCGGAGCAGCTGGGCTGCTATTATGGTTTTAGTTTCCCTCAAGGGCCACGCAGCGCGTCTTGAAGCAGTCCGTGAACTACAGTTACAGTAGTGTCTCTCGGAAGACGAAACAAAATACAGTCACAGGTGCAGGCAGCCCCAGATATACGGATACTTGCATTCACACACAAAAGCCAGGGATGGGATACTGCTGGCCTGCACTTAAGAGTCATCGTGCAGTTCTATAAAAGTATTTCTCACAAAAAAATGGGAACATGCATATAACTGCACAATAACCTTTTGTTGGAAACAAAACCTCATCCCCTCTGATCCTCAACACAGGGCCCCCACAGCATCATCAAGTTTGCTGATGACACCACAGTAACTGGTCTTATCAGCAACAATGATAAAACCACCCACAGGAGCGAGGCAGCAGGGCTGGTGGAGTGGTGCCACACCAACAACCTCACACTTCACATCGGCAAAACAAAAGAGATTATAGTGGACTTGAGGAGGCACAGAGGACGTCACACACCCATCATCATTCAGGAGGCTCCAGGCGAAACTGTCAGCACCTTCAGGTTCCTCGGCCTCCAGATCACCGAGAGGCTGAGCTGGTCAGAGAACACTGCCACCATCCTCAATAAAGCCCACCTGTGCCTTCACTTCCTGAGACCGTTAAAGAAGTGGGGGATGAGCAAGACCACACTCACCAGTTTTTACCGTATTACCATTGAGAGTGTCCTGACCGCTGGTATTACGGTCTGGCATGGTGGAGCCACAGTACAGGACAGAAAAGCCATACAGAGTGCTGTGAGGTCCGCGCAGAAAATCACTGGGACTGAGCTACCCTCTGTATGGATTTTCTGTCCTGTACTGTGGCTCCACCATACCACACCGACTGGATATACCTCGACCGCTGCCACAACCGGGCTCGAGCTATACTTCGGGACCCAATTCACCCTGGCCACGATCTGTTTCCACCCCTGGGTTCTGGTAGGAGGAATCACAGCATCAGAACACTGACAAATAGATTCAGAAACAGCCTCTTCCCCCAAGCAGTCTGCATCATAAACAGTTCAAATTAGCACCTACACTTTAAGGTACTGCACTATTTGCACTATGTCCTGTCTTGGCTGTATTATAACGTTTTTTGTCTAAATTTATTGTCCATGTCTGTTTGTCATTTGTGCATTTTTTCTTTCTCTAATGTTCCTGGGACAGCTGAACGAGTAAGCATTCCAATACACTTGTCGTATATGGTAAATAAAGAAATCTTGAATCTTGTCAACATATATGCCTGCTGGTTTTTCACAATCCTTCCAATTAAGAACTGACAACCAAGAAAATCAATCTAATGTCTTATTGAAACAGTAAAGAAATACTAAGTGATTAAGACTCGAGAACAGATTCCTCCCAGGAAGAAATCAAACTCAACGAAGCAGTGTCCAAGAAGTTTAACAAATACAGAAAGAGAGGGAGAAAGAAAGCTCCTATTAAAATGAAACAAGATGAAGGCATGTATTCAGCTTAACAGTAAAAGAACAGAGGAGGTGAGGTAGTCAAGTGTCTCAGGAGACAACGGAGATAAGATAGGGAACCGTGAATGCTCTGTTAATTGTTTCTGCTCAGGCAACACTGTGATTCATTGGTCATGCCGATAAAGCTCTCAGTATTTGAATCTGATAAGGAGCCTCTCAGGTGATGAAAAGGAATTGGCTGATGAATTAAAAAAATTTCACCCAGCTGTTTACTAAGAAAGCAACTGGCAACATCTCTCGGGGCAAGAAAAGAAAAGTTCTACATTAAGCATGTATAAGGCAGAAATATTAGGTATAAGAAGCAGTTGAGGTACACAACTGCAAGGCCTGATGGCATTCTACCAATTGTACTTAAGGATACAAGGCGTCTTATCTGCACGTCTTTCACAAAACTTTTTCAGCAGTCACTCAAGACATGATTAATAAGATAAGATCACTTTATTGGCCATATACAATTTCTTGTATTAGGAATGTGTCTTTTTATCGCATACCCCAGCTTGCTCTCCATGAGACACACAGACAGGGAGAGAAGCTGGGGGTCAGAGCGCAGGGTCAGCCATTTATACAGCACCCCTGGAGCAGTTGGGGTTAAGGGCCTTGCTCAGGGGCCCGACAGAGAAGGATTCCTCTGCCGGCCGCGAATACGCACCGGCAGCCTTCCAGCCACAGGCACAGGTCCTGAGCCACAGAGCCACTGCTCCGCCCCGTGTTCCCATCACTGATGGGGAAATTGCTCACTTAGCACCCATCCCTGGTTTATAAACGGTGATAAACCAGAATAAAGTTATCATAGGCCAATACGATATTTCTATTACATGCAAGGCTATGGAAACCTGAAAACAAAGCTATATAGAGACCATGGAAATTAGAACTGAACCAAATTAGAGGATCATGGTATTCCAACAGGAACCTAAAGGACAGTCAACATGGTTTTAGAA